ACTCCTGGGCCTCCCCTACGTCGACTCAGCCTCGGATGAGTCCCTGGTGCGGCCGGTGCGTGGTTCCGTCACACCCACTCCCACGCGTGCCGTGCCGGCCTTAGTCAGTGCTCGCTAACACCACTTGCCCCCCAAAAGCTCTGTTAAAGCTATACGGAAGGGGGGGGGGATCTTTGTCTTCATAGCGCCGGCGGCGGAGGCTGTCGCGGAGAGGTGACAATGAGGGGCGGGCGCGGTGGATCGACGGGAGTGGCACGGGCAGCAGCAGCAGCAGCTGGTGTCTGGGTGGCCGGGGTTAGCGGGTGACAGAAGCCCCGTGCCCAGGGACTCACGCCTCATTAGCCATTAATGAAACAATCGACAAACGTGATGAGTGCATGCATTATCATTAGCGCAGGGCACGGCCCGGTCAGCAGCCGGCAGCTCGCACACAATGGACCCCCCCCCCCCTCTCCCCACCCCCTCCATCCCTCCTTCCCACTCACAAATCGCTCTCCGCCCGTGCCATTATCGATACAAGCTGGCGGCGGCGTGGGTATCTCCGACCTCCCCCGGATTTTTGAAAAGGTCTTTTTCCCTGCCCTTGACACCTTCTGATAATAGCGACGGACGGGGTGAAGTGGGGGGGGGGGGGGGAGTTCTCTCTCCACCAGCGACAAACGCAGCTGCCAACAAGAGCTGCGACACTTGCGGCATCTCTTTTGAGTAGGTGATTTAGACAAGGGTGCGATCACTGCACGTGCACAGACTGGGAGTCGTCCTTGCAGCAGCAGCAGCAGCACACGTGTGAGTGCTGTGATGCCCATCTACGGATGCACGGGGCAGCCGTAGTTTGTCAAAGACAGAGGCGCAGCCGTCAAAGTTCTCGCTCACGCCGCCGCTGGTGGTCGGACCTCCACCGGAGGGAGCTCTTGGGAGCGGGTATGCTTCCCCCACTGACTTCTCGGTCTGACTATGGTAGAGGTGGGAGTACCCACATTTTACTTCACCACACGCGTATCGCCAAATGGACTCGCTGGGGTGCGTACCCATTGGACGGGAGGGCATTCAGCTTCCGTGCCGGGAGATCGAACCGGCGATTCTATTCATATTGTTAAACCCTTTGTCAATCCACTCCTGGATGGAGACCTCCACACACCAAGCCAGTCGGGGGGGGGGGGGTGGGGGGGGGGGTGGTTTGACCATACTTCTCCACGCTGGTCAGTGCAGGATAGTGGCGCACCCACCGGCATCGGCCACCAATGTTTGCCGTGGCCGGGAATTGGTGAGCCACCCGCTCGCTCCGCTCCGACCAGAGAGGCGCCGCGCGTCTCGGTGATTGTAACACCGGCGCTCTTCGGCGACCCCAATTCCTCTACGTCCGACCCCGTGATCTCGCTCAGATCATCCCGAGTCCTTTTTCAACCGACGGGGCCGCCTGTTTCACCGCGACGCCGATAACGCCACCCGTGTTATTAACCGGCGCGGTCTGGGGGGGACGGCGGCGGGGTGGCTGGCTGACTCAGCGGCTCCTCGGCGGCCTCGCGTGCGTCCACGCGAGCGGACCAGGTTTGCGAGTTCAAATCCCGCTTGGGAAGATTGCACTCAGCCCATCGTCGTCGTCACCCCCTCCCCCCCCCCCCTGGAGGTAGATACAATTAGCACCACAGTGGTGGTCCTAGTGAGAGGCTCGCTCCCATTGTCCATAGGAATGTGGAATTTCCACCACCGGTACAGGGCTGTAACCGGGAGATGAGCATCGCGATAATAACAGTAGCGTCCAGACTGTGCGTCTCACACGCCCGTTACGGCGACGCTGCGCAGCCCGATGCTCAACTGCAACACCACCCTTTAAAAAAAATCAGTAATAATAAAATATAAGTAGCCAAATAAATTAAGCAAAAAAAACGGCACCAAAATCTAATTTGCAGTCCCCACCAGCAATATCCTTGAGCAATTATTGACACGCTCATTAAAAGCAATTATTGCATTTTATTATTAAAAAAAACCACCATCACCACCACCCAGAGGCATGGGTCCGAGACTGGGTGTTCACTCGCGGGCTCCGTGTTTGGATTGCAAAACCTTCGCTCACTTTGGTCTGTTTAATAGAATTTTTAAAAATGTAAACCTCATTTAACCGATTAAAAAAAATTATGTTTAAGCCATTAAAAGTTCAAAAGCAACAATTTGCCACGTTGGTCGAGCTGTGATCGTCGCCCAACAGGACAGCTGCGGGGATGGCAAGCCGCTCCTTTGAGCAGGGGCATCTGCGAAAAAGAGCTTTTCAGGTCATCGGATTCCTCCAGTACAAATACAGATTCTGATGATTCTGGGGCCACACGGGGCTGCTTGCCACTTGGTCCGGGCCCACGTGTGCCCCGGCTATCAGCTGCTGCAGAGAAATCCGCGGTTCAAATTCCAGCAGACCACTTAGGGTAATACTGACGTGTCCGTGTATGTATTAACCCAAAGGAAATAACCAGACGCCGCCTGATGATGCTGGTTATAATTACCGGCGAAACGTCGTACTCGAATTGTAAATGTTGTGAGTTTACCCTCCAACACACCGGTGTGTTGAGCTAGTAAGCAATTGGCATGTCTTGTTTACGTGACAAATATTACTAATTGGCGATCTAACACAAACAATATCTATTGTGGAGAAGCAGGCCATTTTGTGCAGGCGTCAAGGTCAAAATTTGTCAAAATTGAAAACAATGACCTCCCTGCAAATGACTCAATTGAGATCACACGCAGCGAACACCGCTCACTGCTGACTCGCTCATGCGATTGGCGGGCCAAGCGCTGCGTCACCGCGTGCGGCACAGGGTGGCAGCTCACACTCGGGGTGCCCTTTAAAATGTGCGAGATGGGATGTGATGCAATTTGGTCATCACACTTATGCAGTGCTCTGAGACGCCCCGGAGAAACGTGTGGTCTATCAAACAAACAAATCATCATCATCATCATCACTATTGATATTAACCAAATCACTCTCGAAATCGCACAACCTAATTGCCTGCAATTGCATTTTCGTGGTTTTATGTTCGTTTGTCAAAGCAGCTCGTAGGAATGTACAGTCTTAGTTGCGGATGCTAATATTCTCGAGATGTTAAGGGAAGTGAGCTCTGGACGGTTTGGGCTCACGCGTTGAAAAGAGACTGAGTAGATGCAATGAGAAGGGCTGGGGAGAGATTCCACCGGTGCAAGTCTTTAGACAGGAGGAGCAGAGGGAGGGTGTGTGCCTGGAGAAGAGGCACGGAATAGACGCTCATGGAGAGATACACAGCGAGAGAATCTGAGATGCCGATCCTGGGCTGCGATGGGACTCCTGGACCATGAAGAGGGAACTTACAGGTCATGGTTGACCGCATGTGTGTGTGTGAGTACGAACTGGATCGGGAGGACTCGTCACTTGAAGGGACAGTGGCCGCAGTGGCCAGAGATGTTAACTACCTCGCCTGGGATGCAGGTCATGAGTCCATTCCCGATCCCGACCCTGACGACTGTATATGTGGAGTTTGCATGTTCTCCCCGTGGTCACGTGGCTTTTTCTCTGGCTCCTCCGGTATTTACCTCCCCATTTAGCAACACGCGTTCAGAGTATTTGTCTGCTATAAATGTCCACGTACTAATCCACTTCGTTGAGCTATCCTTTATGGACAGGTCGCTTCTGAAAAAGAGCTATACAGCTCAGTTTAATTTAGACTCGTCACGATGTGGCAGCTAAAGGAGGGAATGCGCCGAGATGGAGCGGTTACATCAGCTCATCCAGCAGCGGACTGATCCAGCAGTGGATTAATCGTGGCCGACGGCGACCTTATGGAACGCGTGTTGCGGGGTTTCGCTTCCATCGCCCATGCCCGCCTTGAAGAGACGCTCAGTCTGGCCGTGCCCTCGCATCGTGTAAACAGAGGGTAGTGAGCGGGCGAGTGAATGAATGCGTGGCGAAGGCGGAGTGCTGCCGCGGTGATGAGCAATGTTGTAACTGCCACGATGACGAGTCTCGCGCGCGCGGCACATCACGGGCAAAGCGTGACGACGGGTGGGGCCGTTTGCGGCGAAAAGCTAAACCACGTCTGACAAGGTTGATGAATGCACGAGGTCTTTATCGCCCACCTCCCCACCCCACCCCGTACGACCACAACACCCAACACTCACCCCGCCTCTCGCCCCCTAGCTCGCGTGAACGTCGTCGTGCGGGTGAAAATCTACCGCTCGGGGCCGACGGAGCGAACCGGAGCTGCGGACACTTGCGCAGCAACACAGACGAGACGGCGAAGACGAGAGCACGAATGAAGAATGGAGATTGATCGAATCAAATCGCGATTCACAGAATCGACGGGAGGCAGGGCCCCCCGTGCCGTACGCACGACGCCGCTGGCCGTGACGCTAGCCTCACCAAACCACTCGTGCACCACGTTGGCCTTCATCCGGCGCTACTCGCCAACAGCATTGTCCCCAACAACCTGTTAAGGCTACAGATGGATCCTTGCATGTGAACATCGTCACTCGGGAGACAAAGGCGGCTGAGTATGTAAGTACGAATTTATGTATGCTGAACTTCTTTTTGACCGCACGTCGGCAACCGTGCAAAACGGAGGTGCGGGAGAACAACGAGAAACTACACACAAACAATCCCCTCTCTCATAGGTACACTGTACCTGCCTTCATGGGTTGCCCGTCGCTAAAAGCACTTGCCCTAACAGCCTGTTAAAGGGCTATAAGGGAGAGGAGAGGTGGAGCGGGGGGGCATCTTTGTATTTGTGCGTTAACATCAGCACTGGGGAGACAAAGGCGGCCGAGTGTGCTTCTGGTTTCAGCTTGCCGTCCTCCCCCCCGCGCCTCCGATGAGCACGGTTGGCTACGTGCGGCGCGAAAGAAGTTCAACGCGCGTGCATTGCCACACGCCGTGCCCTCTCTCGTGAGATGCACTCGCCCCCACCGCCTGCTGATGGGCCGCACGGCGTGAAAGGGCATCGCTGTGTGGGCGTGTTGGTGTGTGCGGCGCCACGCGTGACCTGGTGAGCAGCTGCAGCTGGGAGTAGAAGTAGCGCAGCAGGGCGCGGCGGCACAGCACCTCGGCGTGGCAGTCGTTGAGCGCCAGGCCCGCCACGCTCATAAACTCCCCGTGTAGGCACTTGGTGCCCGTGGCCAGGCAGACGACGCGCGCCTCGCTCGTGGCGCCCCCGTCGCCTGCAGTGGGCACAGCGCGCGCACGCACGCACGCATCATCGTCGTCGTCAACACCACCACCATCATCATCACCACCATTATCACCACCGTCATCTTCACCATCATTACCATGATCATCACCAACATCATCATGATCAACATCATCATCATCAAGATCACCAGCATCAACATCACCATCACCATCATCACCATGATGGCCACCATCATTAGCAGCACCATCATCATCACCATCATTACCAGGGGCTTAATTTTGCATTGAATGTTTTTGGGACCCCCCCCCACCCGACCTCCCTTCATCATCAGACATCATCAACTTTACTGTCTGCTGCATTATAGTCATCATCATTTACATCAGCCATATTTTTTTTTAGATGATCACATCCACATTACTATATCTCCTGGGGTGCATTACTGCCACAATCAACAAACCTCCCTGTCAACTACATCATCACTATGCATACACCCAAAGCCCATCGTCCACATGGTCATATAATCGGATCTTCGTCAATTTAACCATCATCCACACCTCCGATTAGCACGGTTGCCTACGCCGGGTGCGAAAGAAGTTCAACATACATGCATCATCCTCCCCATCAACTGCACCGTCACCATTTCAGTCGCGACTTCCTCTGTACAGAAAGCCGCCACGATCATCATCATCATCCAGGCCCCGTGAGCTCCCCACCACTCTCTCCACCACCACCACGAGGCGGGTGGTGGTGGAGAGAGTGGTGGGGAGGGGGGGGTGGGGGTCCCACGTCAAACGGCACGAAGCGAACCCAATCCTCCCCCACGCAGGAACTAAATTAAAATCTCGCGGCCGCGTTAGGAGGCGCGTGGATGTCTCAGACAGGGAGAACAATTTGAGCATCACAGAGGAAATGGCGCTGTGAGAAATTACTCGAATAAAAGCTTCAGAAAATAAGTTGATTGGGAGCCGAGACGACACGGGTTGGGAAAGATACGCGGCTCGGGCAGAGGCCCGCTGAGCGTCGCGTTATCTCAAACGTGTGACTGCAACCCTGCGCACGCTGTGCTCCGGTTCATAACAAACGCAAAGGCCTCCCGGGTAAACCAACAGACTGTTTGGGGCAAGTGTTGTTGGCGAGCAAACTGTGAAGGCTGAAGCGGAGCACGACGGGAGGGGGATGACGGAACGACGGCCGGCCGCTTTAGTTCTCCCGGCGCCGATGTTTGTACACACGGCACCAGGTGCCCATTTAAGGCTGAGTCGACCTAGGAGAAGCCCATAAAGGGTGCAGATATTTATAACTGATGTTGGCCGTGAGCGGGAATCGAACTCGGAGCGCGGTGCGCTAATCGCTGCATAGCCGCTACCCGCAGCCTCCTACGGACGCACACACGCAGTCACCACGCTCGCAGTCACCACGCACGCAGTCTGCACACGCAGTCTGCACACGTGCAGTCTGCACACACGCAGCCTGCACACACGCAGTCTGTACACACGCAGCCTGCACACACGCAGTCTGTACACACGCAGCCTGCACACACGCAGTCTGTACACACGCAGTCACTACACGCGCAGTCTGCACACACGCAGCCTGCACACACACAGTCTGTACACACGCAGCCTGCACACACGCAGCCTGCACACACGCAGTCACCACACGCAGCCTGCACACGCACAGCCTGCACACACGCAGTCTGTAAACACGCAGCCTGCACACACGCATTGCGCGCTTTCAGATGAGCTTCTGGAACCCTCTTCCTTCCGTTTTTTTGAAAGCCGCTGTAGCTATGCACATTTAAATCTAGATTTAAAGCTAATTTCTTCAGAATTTATTTTTGTGTTTAGTCCTTCCCCACGCACCTCCGATTAGCACGGTTGGCTACGTACGGCACGAAAGAAGCTCAACATAGGTACAGTGAGGGAAAAAGTATTTGATCCCCTGCTGATTTTGTACGTTTGCCCACTGACAAAGAAATGATCAGTCTATAATTTTAATGGTAGGTTTATTTGAACAGTGAGAGACAGAATAACAACAAAATCCAGACAAACGCATGTCAAAAATGTTATACATTTATTTGCATTTTAATGAGGGAAATAAGTATTTGACCCCTCAGCAAAACATGACTTAGTACTTGGTGGCAAAAACCCTTGTTGGCAATCACAGAGGTCAGACGTTTCTTGAAGTTGGCCACCAGGTTTGCACACATCTCATGAGGGATTTTGTCCCACTCCTCTTTGCAGATCTCCATGTCATTAAGGTTTCGAGGCTGACTTTTGGCAACTCGAACCTCCAGCTCCCTCCACAGATTTTCTATGGGATTAAGGTCTGGAGACTGGCTAGGCCACTCCAGGACCTTAATGTGCTTCTTCTTGAGCCACTCCTTTGTTGCCTTGGCCGTGTGTTTTGGATCATTGTCATGCTGGAATACCCATCCACGACCAATTTTCAATGCCCTGGCTGAGGGAAGGAGGTTCTCACCCAAGATTTGACGGTACATGGCCCCATCCATCGTCCCTTTGATGCGGTGAAGTTGTCCTGTCCCCTTAGCAGAAAAACACCCCCAAAGTATAATGTTTCCACCTCCATGTTTGACGGTGGGGATGGTGTTCTTGGGGTCATAGGCAGCATTCCTCCTCCAAACACGGCGAGTTGAGTTGATGCCAAAGAGCTCCATTTTGGTCTCATCTGACCACACCACTTTCACCCAGTTGTCCTCTGAATCATTCAGATGTTCATTGGAAAACTTCAGACGGGCATGTATATTAGCTTTCTTGGGCAGGGGGACCTTGCGGTCGCTGCAGGATTTCAGTCCTTCATGGCGTAGTGTGTTACCAATTGTTTTCTTGGTGACTATGGTCCCAGCTGCCTTGAGATCATTGACAAGATCCTCTCTTGTAGTTCTGGGCTGATTCCTGACCGTTCTCATGATCATTGCAACTCCACGAGGTGAGATCTTGCATGGAGCCCCAGGCCGAGGGAGATTGACAGTTCTTTTGTGTTTCTTCCATTTGCGAATAATCGCACCAACTGTTGTCACCTTCTCACCAAGCTGCTTGGCAATGGTCTTGTAGCCCATTCCAGCCTTGTGTAGGTCTACAATCTTGTCTCTGACATCCTTGGAGAGCTCCTTGGTCTTGGCCATGGTGGAGAGTTTGGAATCTGATTGATTGGTTCTGTGGATAGGTGTCTTATACAGGTATCAAGCTGAGACTAGGAGCACTTTCTTTAAGAGTGTGCTCCTAATCTCAGCTCATTACCTGTATAAAGGACACCTGGAAGCCAGAAATCTTTCTGATTGAGAGGGGGTCAAATACTTATTTCCCTCATTAAAAGGCCAATCAATTTTTAACATTTTTGACATGCGTTTTATGGATTTTGTTGTTGTTATTCTGTCTCTCACTGTTCAAATAAACCTACCATTAAAATTATAGACTGATCATTTCTTTGTCAGTGGGCAAACGTACAAATTCAGCAGGGGATCAAATACTTTTTTTCCCTCACTGTACATACTCTCAATTATGCCTGCTGCGTCTCGTATTCGCCAAGACAGACAGATCGCCAACTCGCCCTGGCTCTGGAATATGCGCTTGGTCGAGAGCTATTAGCGAGCCCCCATCCATTCATGCAGTGCATTGTAAATGTGCGCATGAGGCCATGACCGACTCACCCGCAGTGCGTCCGCTATCGGAAGCTAAGCGCGGCTGAGCCTGCATTGGACGGGCGCCCACCGTGCACAAACAGGTTGCCGTAAGCTGCGTCGGGGCTAGGTTGTTTGGTAGGAGACGGGTAATGAAGCAAACTCAATTGTTGTACTGTACTGCTACGCCCCAACGTCTATGCCCCCACCCGCCACCTTCACCGAAACCTCACTGACCAGCGTGTTAAAGTATGGCCCATTAACTCCCGCAACCTTGACGGTGTGGGGAGGCCCTAATCCAGCAGTGGATTGACACCAGGGGTGGTGTACGTGTGCATGTGTAACTACTGTGTTGGTACGGGGGAAGTGCTGTTGGCGAGCACCCATTCGAGAAAAGAGTTGCGTGGCCGCTCGCAAGCGTGGACGATTCCAGACCATTGGCGAGAGAGAGACAGCGAGAGAGCTCTACCCCTCGGACAGCAGAGCTGGCTGCTTGGAATGCACGGGGAGTGAACCGTGGCGTAAGTAATTTTCCGCGGAGATTTTTAAATTAGATTTTAGATTTTTTTTACGTCTTTAGGCGCAGCAAACATTTATTTTTATATATAAAAAAGATTGTAACTTTTTTTATTTTTCGTTTGTCGACGTTAAATTGAGTATCTGAACACATCGCCAGCATTAAACCTGCATAACTTAATGACAAAGCCGCACCACAATCGTGTCGGGTGAATTAACCAAACAGCCATCATAGCTCGGTTGAAGTTGTTCACACATTCACTGCAGTGGCCTCAGAGCTCTGAAAATCACTTTAGAGGCGTTTTTTTATTTTATTTTATCAATGGCGAAGCTTCCAACTCGCATGAGACAATGCCGGGACACACGGCCTTGGTGTGTAGCCACGACACGAGAGGCATCGCTCGTTGGCGAGTGATATCTGAACCGGTGTTGACCCTATAACTACCCACACCAGCCTCCCACCTTCACAAACCCGCACTGTCCTGCCTGATGAAGTATGGTCAAAACAGTCCCCAACGACTGGCATGGCACGGCAAGGCCCCTATAATTATTGCCACTATATACAATTACAATTGTGTAGTGACATCGCTGGATGTCACATCGCAGTGCCGGCAATAGAGAGTCACGGCGTGCGGTGCAGCGACATCGCAGACACCACAGTGGTGTGGGTGTAGTACCGGCCCTAGAGGGGCCCGGTGAGCGCTGATTGATAACGTTGGGTGGCACCACGCTTGGCGTGCAGTGCCAGGCCCTACAGGACAGGGTGTGGGAGTGCCGGCCGTAAGAATGAGGTTACTAAAGGCCGTGGCACTCTGGTTGACCCGAGAGGACACGTGACCGGCAAAGTCTACAAAGGGGCCCCAAGTGGGGGCTAGGGGTGGTCACGTGGTTGGCATTCAGATCCTTCCCGAGGATTCTGGAAGGTGGTCGTGGCCAAGGGCTGAGCCAGCCACGCCACAGAGGAGATAAGCCGGGTCCCCCAGAGGGGCCGGCGTTGTTGTTCATCCTGAAGAAACCTTCGTCCAACGTTCTACCAAGTCTCCAACACGTGGACCTGGACCCGAGCTGTTGACCCCGGTCCGTAGTAGCTAGTTACGTTGTAATTAGTGTAGTTAGCCTGGTGGTCACCACCTAGTTAACTACACCAGTTACGTTGTAATTAGTGTAGTTAGCCTGGTGGTCACCACCTGGTTAACTACACCAGTTACGTTGTAATTAGTGTAGTTAGCCTGGTGGTCACCACCTGGTTAACTACACCAGTTACGTTGTAATTAGTGTAGTTAGCCTGGTGGTCACCACCTGGTTAACTACACCAGTTACGTTGTAATTAGTCTAGTTAGCCTGGTGGTGACCACCTGGTTAACTACACCAGTCACGTTGTAATTAGTCTAGTTAGCCTGGTGGTCACCACCTGATTAACTACACCAGTCACGTGGTAATTAGTGTAGTTAGCCTGGTGGTCACCACCATAGGTTGTTATTCTGTTAAGGGGAAGCTACCCCGTGTGTTGGAGTTAAATAAATGTGTTGCCTCCAAGTCTACGTCTGCGACTCAGTTGAACTCACTCCACAAATATAATGCATTCCAAATATCAATCAAATGAAGCCGAAAATTTGACTCGGGCTCGCAGAACAGATGCGCGCATTAAGCACAACCAATATATTATGTAATTATAATAATTTCTCGTGGTTCCATTTTCTTCTAAATCTCCCCCGCCCCCGCGTGCGAGATATCAAAGCCTTGAGCGCAATCTTTTAGGTGGCTGATAATGAGCGAGCGCGCGCCTGGGATGCGAGAAGAGAAATTAAATGTGCGGCGCCATCTGAAATGAGCTTCATGTCACGACTCTGAGGGCCCCCCCTCTCTCCCCCTTCAGAGGGGGAGAGAGGGGGCGGTTTGTAGGGGGGGGGGGGCGCCGCTTCCATTCGCCGCAATTACGCGAGGAAATTAAAAGAGTTGCCTGGTTTTTGCCATGCGAACAAGATCATGTGATTGGCAGAAATTATTATAGTTTTTGGCCTTGTAAATCATATTTTTTTCTTTCAAGGAGAGGGGGTAGGTGAGAAGCTATGAGGCCGCTGAGTGATGGTGGCTGCACCCCTCTGCCACCCACCCTCCGCATCGCCCCCCCCCCCCTGCTCTCCATCAATGCGCCCCCTACATCTCCGCTAATATTCATCCATTAAACCCGAGCAATCAATGGTCGCTCCTCTCCCCCCCCCCCTCTCTCTCCCCGTGCCTCCCCCCCCCCCCCCCTGTCTTTCTGACCAAAATAAATTATATTATTAAACCTCGCCGGCTGACATTACTTTAGAAGTCGCAGAGCTTTAAAAAGCAAACGCCAGCTCAATTCATCATTTTATTAATTCATCTTGTGAAAGCCAATTACTACTTTGCTCAACAGCGTCAGCCAAGAGAAAACTGTATTTCTGTTCTGCTCAGCTCGGGGCTTCTCCCGTCTCTCTCTCTCTCTTCTTCTCTCATAACCGCAAAGGGATGGGGCATCTATGTGAGTGTTGTTCCAATCGAAGCTATACAAAAACGAAAAACTATATTTTTTCAACCAGCTCAGGCCCACGCTGAGCTATGTAGCTCTTTTCCAGAAGCGACCTGGTCACAAATGAAAGCTCAACGAAGTGGCTTATTATCACGTGGAAACGTTATAACAGCCAAATACTCTAAACGCACCTTGATAATAAATGTGTAGGAGGATGGATAGCTGATGTGGTTGGTTCATAGATGGCTGTGTCAGACACCGCTGAGTACCGGCCTTCAAATCGGGTTTCAATTGGCCATTGTTAAACCGAGTTCCAAAGCGAGTTGATGGTTCAGCAAGGTCAACAATGACTTTACAAACACGAAAGGAATGTAGATGTTTCAAACACATATATACCGATACAAATACTCCACATACAGCCTTTAATAGACTGTCATGACAATTGTTGTTAGCAAGCACCTATTCAGACTAGCACGGCACACAAAGAGTTGGTGTAGTCAGAACCATGCACGGCCGTCTCTCGCGGTGCGTAAAACAAGTCAGGCCAGGACCTGTTCGGATATTCGCCACTCTCAGACACACATCTTACACACACATCACATACACACACATCTTACACACACATCTTACACACAAACATCTTACACACACACATCACATACACGCATCTTACACACACATCACATACACACATCTTACACACACACACATCACATACACACATCTTGCACACACACACACATCACATACACACATCTCTCACACACACACACAACTCGTACACATCTAACAGACATCGCACACATAGATCTTACACACATCACACGCACACACATCGCACGACCAGACACATCTCACACACACACATCACATACACACACATCTTACACACAACACACACATCTTACACACACACATCACATACACACATCACACATCACATACACACATCACACACATCACACACCTTACACACATTACACACACATCACACACACATCACACACACACACCTCACACATAACACACACATCTTACACACACACATCACATACACACATCACATACACACATCACACACATCACACACCTTACACACATTACACACACATCACACACATCACACGACCATACACATCTCACACACACATTACACACACACACATCACACACACACACATCTTACACACAACACACATCACATACACACATCACACACACACACCTCACACACAACACACACATCTTACACACACACATCACATACACACATCACACACACACATCACATACACACATCACACACCTTACACACATTACACACACATCTCACACACACACACACATGTCTCGTACACATCTAACAGACATCACACACATAGATCTTACACACATCACACACACCTCACACACATTACACACACACACATCTCACACACAATTCTCATACACATTACACACACATCTCATAAATCACACAAGCACATCTCATAAATCACACACACACATCTCACACACATCACACACGTCACACACACATCACACACACACACATACACACACATCACACACATCTCACACACACACATCACACACACACACATCACACACATAACACACACACACACACATCACACACACACACATCACACACACATCACACACATCACACACACATCACACACATCACACACACACACACATCACACACACACATACACACACATCACACACACACATCACACACACACATCACACACACACACACATCTCACACACATCACATACACACATCACACACACACACGTCACACACACACACACACGTCACACACACACACATCACACACGTCACACACACACATCACACACACACACATCACACACACACACATCACACACATACACACACATCACACACACACACACGTCACATACACACATCACACACACACACCCCCGTAGCGGGCCTCACCGCGGGTCAGCACCATCCCGGCCAGCACCTTGCGCCGCTCCAGCAGCGCAGCGGCCACCCCGCCACGCGCCGCGGCTCCTCCTCCTCCTCCGGCGCCTCCCCCTCCCGCCAGCTCCGCGAACTTCTCGAGCACGAGGCGCGCCACGCGGTCCGCGAGTGCCTGCAGCGAACATCGCCGAACGCGCACGAGGGATCAGTGGCGGCGGGCAAAACGCTCGTGTCGGTGGGTGGGGGGTGCATGTAGTGGGGGGGGGGGGGAGGTCATAGATAGGGTAGCGGTTGGGGGTGGGGGGGGTGCAGTTTTACCCGGACCTTTGATCTCTGGAATCATCAGAATGGACTCCCCTGGTCCTCATTTGAAATAATTCCCCAGGCCTCCGAAAAGTTTTCAACGACCCTGATTGAGGGTCGGCTGACTTTCCATGTTGCTGTCCCTTGATTCATAACACCCCACCCCCATCCCCCACCCCCATCCCCCCCCCCCCCCTTGGGCCTTGCAACACGTGGATCTTTTTGGCGACTCAACATGGGCCAACCGTGGCTGAGGCATCGCACGAATTACAAATTCACCACGCAGATTCAGGACCAATGTCATCGTCACCGTCTCAAAACTCAACAGGGCTCCTAAGACGACGCGAGGACATTTGTTACGATCATCATCAGTCCGCTTGTTTACTCGTAGAAAGCCTGGCTGAGTCTCATGGCTGTATTTCAAGAGGGTCGTGCCGAGCGTTTGACAGCACCTTCATGCACCTTGATCGCACCAGAATTGATGCGCACACGCGCGTGGCGTGAGCGATTACCGTCTACCCGATTCGTCTGCATGGTTTATAACTCTGTTTCTCTGTGTCTATCTCTCCGTGTCTCCCGCACGTGGCTCGGTTGACTACGTACGTTGCGAAATAAGTTCAACATACAAAACTGAAACTAAACGAATTTTTGATTTTCTTACCAGGTAAGACCCACTGGGCGATATATCTCGTTTTCAGAATCGACCTGGCTACCGATGATAGATCGACAAAGTGGTTTATCACCTGGAAATGTATAGCGGCCAAATAGTCGAAGCGTATACATACATAGCTCCACGTATGTGTGTGTGTGTGTGAGACAAAGGCGGTCGGGCGTGGTGCTGGCCACCCACCCCCTCGTGTACCGTTCCGGCCTTCATAGGTGCTCGCTAACAGCACTTGCCCCTACAGTCTGTTAAGGCTATATGGGGGATCTTTATCGTTGTCATTTCGGTCCGCATCTCGCATTGGGTTGCTCCGTCGTGCTCGCCCGGCAATAAATCGTGGCCGGTTCTTGGCGCGTCACACAGCTTGGTGGCCCAGGCCAGCGGTGCACGCGACGGCCGCGCTCTGCGCGCCACAGAGCAGCAATTGAGCGCCGCGCGTGTTCGGACGTCGATCGCTCACGACTCGCTGGGGCTTCACGGCACGTCCTTGTGAGCGAGTGCGGTCCAGGCGGATGCATCAGGCGCGGACGCCTGATGCATTGGGGATGTGACGAGGGGGGTGGGGGAAGCCGGCGGCCCGGGGGGTTTGGGGGTGGGGGGCTGAAGATACTTGAGCGACATCCCCAGCTTGAGACCATTCTTCACTTCTCGACGAACAGTCAGATGCAGTATTCCATCGGAGACTATGCTAAGCCCACAGAAGACAATTGAATGCTCCACCAACCCCCAACCTTATCCACACGAGCCAATTGCAGCGTATCACTACCACGATCACAAGCACACAAGCCAACTGGCCCCGAGCTCTAACCCTAACTGTCTCCATACGATCCGATCAGGTCATCTCCCAACACTAAACGCAGATGCAGCACACACGAGCCAAACAGGCCCAAACTCTACCCCCGAAGCCTAACAAACTGGCCCACCCAATCCCAAGTCCAATCTCGAATCATTTGCTACCCGCGCCCGATCATGGCACGACAGTGGCTCTACCCCCAACCGTGTAAACCTCCCTTTCTCGCGTCATTATCGGTGAACAAAGCACGCCCGGCGATGGTGAAGTGCCGCTCTGCCGCCTCCTCTCCTCGCGCTCTCCCCCTGTTCGCTCGTCAGCAGAACATCAAAGGGTGACGCGTGCAAGCAGACGGGTCGCATGTGGATTTCTCGTCAAACCCCACGACGTGAGATTAACACGTCGTAGGTTTTCGCGACCAATGTTATCCAGAATAATATGGGGGGGTGGGGGGGGGTTGGATTAGATCGCGTAAATATAAATGTATCGTTAAATCCGCCACCACGCGACACAGCCAATGAGTAAGGTTTGTCACGTTAACAAAAAACGTGCCAATTCGCTAGAAATTCAGCACACCAGTGTTTTGGACAGTAAACCCACGATATTTACAATTCGAGTGCGACGTTTCGCTGGTTATTGCAACCAGCATCATCAGGCACTTTGCCGGAATTGTGAAGAAGTCCTCCTGTTTCGGTCTTGAATAGAGGGATTAAAAGTGATATCATCATAGTGAGCCTTTCAGGTGCGAACATCAGAGGGGAGGTTAATGTAGTCACCTAAATTAATCTGAGAATATGCAGCACCTATTATTGGTCGGGCTATTCGCAGTTACCCACGAGTTACACAAAATAAGTAGACGAACAGCTGGACAAGATACACACGTGCAGGCATTCGTCTCTCCGCTGCTGGACACGGGCCTCCCCAGCGCCGTGATAACTTTGGGGGCTTAAATGACGAGACTTTCATATGTATTTTTTTTACTCGTGCTTTTCACTAACAGCAGCCCAGGGTCAAGGTAGACATGGACATACTCAAAAGGTGGTCCGAGCCTACAATGCTGTTTGCTGTGGCTAGGTCAACATCGGCATTGGGAGACAAAAGCGGTCAGCTACGTGCGGTTCTGGCTATACAAAATCCACCTCGCCCGTGTGTCGTGCCAACCTTAATAAGTGCGCTGTAACTTACACGTTCACTGGCCTTCCGGAACTAATTGGGAGTGGGAAGGAGGTAGGCTGGTGCATTGTAACGACTTTTTAAATAGTTAACCTGCTTGCATTCATCTGGAAAGTTTATCGGCTTCTTTTACTTGAATGAATTCATTACCTTTGTCTCTTTCACTCCCCCCCTACAGTCCCCTTGCCGCTCAAAATGTTCTTCGCCCTAATTAGGACAATGATGTGCCGTGTAATTACCATCACGCAGGCGCACACAGCGAACGAAATGTGGGCCCGACACACGTGCTGTGCAGTAGTGTAATGAGCGAGGGGCAGGAGGTTTGCCAAAGCTACAAGTTGGGGCCCCCTTGACAACCACCATGTGATGTTTTCAACCAACAGTGTAAAAGAACAAACGCTTGTTTAAAAAGCGACTTAAATAGATTTTTACGACGAAACTTTCATTTACGTTTCATTATTAATTTAAATTTTATTAGAGAAATAACGGGATAAATTTCGATTTAAAGCTTTCGTGACTGCAATGATTCATCTTCTTTGGTTCTTTCGGTGAAGTCACGTAGAATGAAAAGAAAATAATAAATTGATAAAATAAAATAACACAATAATATTCTCACGACGTTTCGGCCACAACACAAGCGGCGTTCATCAGGTGAAGGGACGAGACTGTCTGGTAGGACAGCGCTGGAGTGTTGTCATTTCGGTCCGCATCCAGCGCTGTCCTACCAGACAGTCTCGTCCCTTCACCTGATGAAGGCCGCTTGTGTTGTGACCGAAACGTCGTGAGAATATTAATGTGTTATTTTGTTTTATCAATTTATTATTTTATTCTCATTGTACGTGACTTTACCGAAAGAACCAAAGAAAATAACGGGATATTGCAAAGACACTACTACGGAGCTGTAGGGGCTGCATTTTTGCGAAGACGGAGCGCCCCGTACAGCGTTAAATGTTCGAGACCGTGAGCGTCACGATGATGTGAGTAGGCAAGAGAAGCCGCGATATACAAGAGTCTTCAGGTACGACCGTGCGAGACAAATCACAATATTGGGGCCCCACCTGACCTATTGCCGCACCCCCTGAGCTGCCAATGTAGTTACTACGTCACTGGTGCCATACCAAACCAGTTCACGCGTGCCTTGTTGGATGGCCTTACGGATGTGCGTGTGCTGCTCAATTTCTCGGGCCGAAATTCAAATTTAAGAAACCCATCGCTCGTGTGTCAATTCGACAGCGATTCGATGTCAAGTTCATGAAAAGCTCGCCGCTCTTCTCAAGGCGGTCACCCACTGCGTGTCACGTCATGCCTCTGTTTTGTACACCACCTGCACCACCGAAAGTGGCCACACACATCAGATGTTTTTTTCTTCTCACTTCTCACGGATGCCTCCAGAATTGTCAGTCAGTAAACTTCTCTGGAACCCCCCCCCCCTCTCAAAAAATCACCGCCACAAATCCCATCGTCAGCATGATGATCACAACGTGTTTTCAGAACATCGCGCTAAGCAGTGAGGTCTCCGGATTATGTTCGTAGCTCTGCCACCTCTTTCTGGTCTGAAGAAGGACCATTGCCCGGATCGTTTGCCTCGACTAAATAATCTTGTTCTTGAGGATGTTTTTGTTACAAAAGTGGGCCGTTGATTTGTGGTCTCAGAATAGGTGTAACAACTGCGTTACACGAAGTATGACACACTCACTGCATCATATACACATTTAAAATACAAAAAACCCAACCGCTGCTGCTATTGATTTTTACAAATAAAACACGACCCAGGAAAACTGACACCAGACGGGGTTAACAGAGAGGGCGGCTGTGATGTCTTTCATGCCACGCGATCCCCCTGGCCATCGCGTCGAGATCAGCGACTTCAATGCTCGCAGAGTAATTGTTTCAAAGTGCACCCAAATACTGCCCCCTCTCCCCACGCCTAGTCCTCCCTCACCCCCCGCCCCCCTCCCCCCATCAGCCCGGCTAAATGGGCACTCACGCTCACGTCGAGCATAGCCACGAGGTTTTCTAGTCTCACAGACATTGCTGTTCATACAACATCAATCTACAATACCAGATAATTATCAACTACGTATTGAACCATACATAAGCCATCTAGATATGAATACCACCATCATGATGATTCTCCTCCACATAAGCGCCACCGCTAATATCGCTACCACCAGTGTCTCCACTGGTCATTATCATGAACCTCATTAGCTACGTAATCATCTTAAAGACTACTGAATCTCATCTTAATAAAGATGACCATCATCAACCTCATCACCACCAACGGAAATCTCAAAGTTCTATCCTGCGAAGGGCGCGACCACGTGGCTGCAAACTGCGCGACCACGCGGCTGTCAAGTAGGCCACCACGTGACCGTGAAACGCGCCACCACGTGGCCGCGAAGTACGCCACCACGTGGCTATTCAGCGTGCCTCCACGTGTTACCTCTGCTTCATGACTCAAGCACAAGCGCGGGTGGCGGGGACACTCACCTGCGAGAGCACCGCGTGGTTCTCGCCCAGGTCCTGCGGAGGGCCCACAGTCGGTGGTCGGGCCGGCCTAAACGCGGCCCCTATCCCGTAGAGCGCCCTCAGGGCAGCCTGGGCCGCGCGGCTCCGAGCTACCCTCTTGCTCCGCGCCGCTCCCCTGAAGGAGCATCCGCCCACGGTCACCTGCACCACCACACGAGGAGAGACGCCCTCGGCCGTCGTCGGCCCAGCTGCCCCGGGCACTCCGGGGGGTCCCGCGATGTCTCCAAAGGCCGCGTCGGGATGCAGCGCGCCGAGGGCCCACACGGGATTGTTGCGCACCTGGCTGAAGGCGTCGAAGAGGGCCACCGCGCCCAGTGGAGGCCCCCCGGGGGGTTGGTAGCTCTCCAGGGCCTGCAGATCCTCGCTTGGAGTAGCCCCGCCACCGGAATGCGTCCTCTGAGCCCATGCAACCGCATGCGGGACGGACGCGTCCGCTTCCAATGCGAGGGGAGCTCTCTTTGTGATCACTGCTTGACTGCTGTTGCTGTAGCCGCTGCTGCTGTTGTTGCTGCTGCTGATGTTGTATCTGTAGTCATTCCAACTGTAGTAGCAGCACTCGCCCTTTAAAGTTCTAGAGTGCACGCTTGAGTCGCTTGTGGTGTTGTTGTTGTTGTAGTTGTTGTGGCTACTGCGGTTGTTGTTGTGTTTCAGCGCCCGGCACGCAAGTGTCCGAGGCGCCCATTCTGATAGTCTCGGCGTGAGCTGCGTGAGAGTGGGGTGCCGTAGTGGGGAGGGTTCGGGAGGGGCCGAGCTTCCCTGCGAGGGCTCCATGCGTGGGCTACGCGTCAAGGGTGACCCCTGTCCGTGGTCAACCTGGAGTTGTCCATTGTGCTGAAAACCCATGTCGTGTCCATGTTGACCCCCGCAGCCTAGAGCGCTGGGCGATCGTATTTGACTACTGCTGCTGCTGCTACCCATGAGTTGTATCGAGATGGTGGAGCAGGTTGTGGCGGTGGATGACACAACCGCCACAGCCGCTGCGATTCCTCTTCCTGGGAAATCGGCAACACCACCACCACTACCACCACCGTCATTAAAATCACGATCAACACCAAAACCACCATTAGTACTGCCAATACCGCCATGAACACTGCCGCTATCACCAACAACGCCATCGTTACTGCCTCTAATGCCGTCACCAACACCGCCAACAACGCAGTCACCACCAGCTCCACCAACGTCCGCGCGGTCACCAACACCGCGACCACCACCGCCGCCGGCGGCGACTCCTGGCTCAGACGCAAAGTCGGCGACATCGAATCTCATCTCGTGCTCCCCCTGCTCGTCACGGGCGAAGTCAGCATTGGCGGGCAGCGCAGAGGCGGCTCGGCCCATGGCGCGGTGCGCCTCCCACGCGTTGGGGAACTGCACGAAGGAGCGCAGCGCGCGCTCGGCCGCACGCGCCTTCGCCTCGCGCTTCGTGGGGCCCACGCCCACGAAGGTGTCGCCGTTCACGTCCACGGCGAGCGTGAAGCGCGGCGCGTGTACGGGCCCCGTCTGCGACACCACGCGGTACTGCAGGCCCGGCCGCAGCTCGTTGAGCTGCATCAGCGCGTTCTTGTTGGGCGGCGGCGGAGGTGGCAGCAGCAGCAGCAGCGACGGGGGTGGTTGCGACGGCAGCAGCGTTGGCGGTGGTGGTGCCAGTGGATGTGGTGGTGGATGTGGTGGCTGCAGCGGTGTTGCCCCGTAGCTGCTGCTGCTGGTGGTGGTGGTAGGCGCGAGGTGGTGAGCGTGCTGGTTGTGGGGGGGTGGCGGAACGAATGCGGCATGCAGAGGAAAGGGCATGGGCAGGGCCATCAGGGAGAGGCCCCCCACGTGGCGTCTCCTCTTAGGGCGGAAGCGCGGAGGGGCCCGTCCCGCGTTCTCCTCCTCCAGCGCCCGCTTGAGTCCCCCACCAGCCGGGCCCCGCAGGCCGCTCACTTCAGGCCCCGACGCAGAGGGGGAGAGACCCTGCACGGGAGCTGTGGCCGCCTCTTGGGAGTCGTCGCTGTCAGACAGGAGGCAGTTTTCCTTCACGCTGCCAGAACCTGAGGGATGCACAACACATACGTACACACGTACACACACATACATAGGCACATGTACAACAACAACCGCCATTCACCACTAAGTGACAGTGACATCACCATGGCGCCCGTGCCAGGCTATGTGCACGTTGAGGCCACGTGAAGTGTTGAACGTCCGCCGGCAGGAGGTCACGGGGCAGACCCACCAGGTGCCATGGGTTGGCTGACTGAGATGACTGTCCGATGCACCTCCTGTGCCCCCTACTATGCCAACTTGCTATGATTTAGCCGCCTGGTGCTCCGCTCATTGTTGTGAGCGTCGCTCCTCTGCTCTCCGTTGTTGTTGGAGGGCGACTGCCTCGAACTGCCTAATAACGTCCTTCACGTGCCTCCTCCACAGAGGCCGATCTTGACACCGCTGGTACCAGTCATCGGCAAGTACACTCAGTTCCACATCCTTTGTACTCCATCTCTTCTCTAGCCCATTGCACACCCATCTAGCCCCCTCTATCCGGCCAAACAAAAGCTGTTTAGGCATGCGGTAGCTGGGCATGTAGGCTACATGACCCAGCCAACACAGCCTTGCCTGCCAAAGGAGCTCATCAGATATTTCAAGGATTTGTGAGCTCCTCACACAATCCAGCCAGGTTAAACCCAACATGAGTCATAGGCAGGCCAGCCTAAATGTTTCTAACCGGCGAATGTGTTCCATTCGAAGGGGTCCATGTTTCACAAGTGTAGAGAAGGGTGGGAATGACTGTGGCCGAGAAGACCTGAAACTTTGTGTGGAGTGATAGACCAGGTAGCTTTCACACAGCGTTATGCAACCGATGAAAAGATAATGCCGCTCGACTGATTCAGAGTGAGACCTCTGCTGTCAAACCGGCGGCAGTCATGAGCACACTGCCAAGGTATGGGCAACTCTCCACTCTCTCCACAATTGCCCCGTCACCAATATTACCAATTGGGAGTTATGGGGGTGGAGTGTCTGATGGTGCAAATACCCAGGCAAGTGCTTAGTTTTGGTGGGGCTGATGGTAAGGCCCCACCTCTTAGTGGCACGCTCTAGGTTCAGCAGTAGCGCCTCCAACTCCTCCTCTGAGTGAGCAGCAATTACCAGATCATCGGCATACGTAACATGGTTAACCAATAGGGAGCCATCCCTTGACAACACCTGGGAATCAATCAGTCTCACATTGTATCTTTACTATATGGAAATTCCTCCAGCATAGCCATCGAAGGCTTCACGAACTACGTAGTCGAAATAGATGTTAAATCATGTGGGAGCCAGAGGACATCCCTTTTGCACCCCAAGGTGAACAAGAAATGGCTCTGACTGCCGGCCACATTTTTTACCCGGGCCCACTTACCACCATGAAGGTCCTTAATGATTATGAGCAGAGAGTCACGGACTTCGAAAGCACGAAGAACAACCCAGAGCCCAGGCCTACTGATGGTATCATAGGCCTTGACTAGGTCCATTAAGAAGAGATGTTGGTCTTGTGGGAATTCCCTACACCTCTGCTGTAGCAGACAGACAGAAAATATAGCATCTGTGCAGGATCGCCCTGTCCTGGAACGACATTGGGGCTCCACAAGCCTATCCTCAGTGTGCCTAGCAAGGCGATGTTGAATAATCCTTGCCAGGACCTTTCCCGGAACACTGAGGAGTGAGATGCCCCTGTAGTTTTTACAGTCTACCAGGGCATCCTTACAAGCTTGCAGAAACCGTCCAGTGGTCCAGACTGTTGTTATGATGTCATGTAGGGCAGTCTGTGCACAAACGCCACCCTCCCTCAGTATTTCGCTTGAGAGATCATCTCTGCCCAGTGCCTTTCCTGGTCTCACACACATACATACGTACACGTACCAATGCCATTACCCCCAATTCGCCACTAAGTGACGGTACCGGGCCTGTGCCAGGCCAGGTGCACTTTGGGGTTACGTGAAGTGTCGATGGCTAGCTGACAGAAGGTCGCGGGACAGACCCAGGTGCCATGGGTTGACTGATATGATTAGAAGAAGTACCAGCTGTGCCCCCTACTATGCCAACTTGCTGTATTTTACCCGCCCGACATGCCGCTCATTGTTGTGAGCATAATTCCTCTGCCCCCCACCGCCCCCCCCCCCCCCCCCCCGTTGCTGAAGGAGGGCGACTACCTCCAAATGACCAGTACGGTCGTTCACAATCCTCCTCCATTCGCGCACACACACATACATATGAACCATGGCACACGCGGAGGTGGGTGGCCAACATCAAGCCCGGCCGCCTTTGTCCCGAGTGGCAGTATTTAGGAACTCATTTGAGGCTCAATGGACCTAGGGGAGGCCCAAGACTGGTTCAGATGTCCATCACTGGTGTTGACAGTGGACAGAAATCGAACTCGGGAGACCAGGCCCGTAATGCGGTGCGCAATTCCGCTATACTACCGCTCCCCACACAATTAGCTCATACACCCTGTATATACACCACAGTGTGATTAACTCATAGACCCTGTGTATACACCACAGTGTGATTAACTCATAGACCTTGTGTATACATCATAGTGTGATTAACTCATACACCCTGTATATACACCACAGTGTGATTAACTCATAGACCATGTGTATACACCACAGTGTGATTAACTCATAGACCTTGTGTATACATCATAGTGTGATTAACTCATACACCCTGTATATACACCACAGTGTGATTAACTCATAGACCATGTGTATACACCACAGTGTGATTAACTCATAGACCTTGTGTATACATCATAGTGTGATTAACTCATAGACCCTGTGTATACACCACAGTGTGATTAACTCATAGACCCTGTGTATACACCACAGTGTGATTAACTCATACACCCTGTGTATACACCACAGTGTGATTAACTCAAAGACCCTGTGTATACACCACAGTGTGATTAACTCATAGACCCTGTGTATACACCACAGTATGATTAACTCATAGACCCTGTGTATACACCACAGTGTGATTAACTCATAGACCCTGTGTATACACCACAGTGTGATTAACAGACCCTGTGTATACACCACAGTGTGATTAACTCATAGACCCTGTGTATACACCACAGTGTGGTTAACTCATGGACCCTGTGTATACACCACAGTGTGGTTAACTCATAGACCCTGTGTATACACCACAGTGTGATTAACAGACCCTGTGTATACACCACAGTGTGATTAACTCATAGACTCTGTGTATACACCACAGTGTGATTAACTCATAGACCCTGTGTATACACCACAGTGTGATTAACTCATAGACCCTGTGTATACACCACAGTGTGGTTAACTCATGGACCCTGTGTATACACCACAGTGTGGTTAACTCATAGACCCTGTGTATACACCACAGTGTGATTAACTCATAGACCCTGTGTATACACCACAGTGTGATTAACTCATACACCCTGTGTATACACCACAGTGTGATTAACTCAAAGACCCTGTGTATACACCACAGTGTGATTAACTCATAGACCCTGTGTATACACCACAGTGTGATTAACTCATAGACCCTGTGTATACACCACAGTGTGATTAACTCATACACCCTGTGTATACACCACAGTGTGATTAACTCATACACCATGTGTATACACCACAGTGTGATTAACTCATAGACCCTGTGTATACACCACAGTGTGATTAACAGACCCTGTGTATACACCACAGTGTGATTAACTCATAGACTCTGTGTATACACCACAGTGTGGTTAACTCATAGACCCTGTGTATACACCACAGTGTGATTAACTCATACACTCTGTGTATACACCACAGTGTGATTAACTCATACACTCTGTGTATACACCACAGTGTGATTAACTCATAGACCCTGTGTATACACCACAGTGTGATTAACTCATAGACCCTGTGTATACACCACAATGTGATTAACTCATAGACCCTGTGTATACACCACAGTGTGATTAACTCATAGACCCTGTGTATACACCACAGTGTGGTTAACTCATAGACCCTGTGTATACACCACAGTGTGATTAACTCATAGACCCTGTGTATACACCACAGTGTGATTAACTCATAGACCCTGTGTATACACCACAGTGTGATTAACTCATACACCCTGTGTATACACCACAGTGTGGTTAACTCATAGACTCTGTGTATACACCACGGTGTGATTAACTCATACACTCTGTGTATACACCATAGTGTGATTAACTCATAGACCCTGTGTATACACCACAGTGTGGTTAACTCATAGACCCTGTATATACACCACCGTGTGATTAACTCATAGACCCTGTGTATACACCACAGTGTGATTAACAGACCCTGTGTATACACCACAGTGTGGTTAACTCATAGACCCTGTATATACACCACAGTGTGATTAACAGACCCTGTGTATACACCACAGTGTGATTAACTCATACACCCTGTGTATACACCACAGTGTGATTAACTCATAGACCCTGTGTATACACCACAGTGTGATTAACTCATAGACCCTGTGTATACACCACAGTGTGATTAACTCATAGACCCTGTGTATACACCACAGTGTGATTAACTCATAGACCCTGTGTATACACCACAGTGTGGTTAACTCATAGACCTTGTGTATACACCACAGTGTGATTAACTCATACACCCTGTGTATACACCACAGTGTGATTAACAGACCCTGTGTATACACCACAGTGTGATTAACTCATAGACTCTGTGTATACACCACAGTGTGATTAACTCATAGACCCTGTGTATACACCACAGTGTGATTAACTCATAGACCCTGTGTATACACCACAGTGTGATTAACTCATAGACCCTGTGTATACACCACAGTGTGATTAACTCATAGACCCTGTGTATACACCACAGTGTGATTAACTCATACACCATGTGTATACACCACAGTGTGATTAACTCATAGACCCTGTGTATACACCACAGTGTGATTAACAGACCCTGTGTATACACCACAGTGTGATTAACTCATAGACTCTGTGTATACACCACAGTGTGGTTAACTCATAGACCCTGTGTATACACCACAGTCTGATTAACTCATACACTCTGTGTATACACCACAGTGTGATTAACTCATACACTCTGTGTATACACCACAGTGTGATTAACTCATAGACCCTGTGTATACACCACAGTGTGATTAACTCATAGACCCTGTGTATACACCACAGTGTGATTAACTCATAGACCCTGTGTATACACCACAGTGTGATTAACTCATAGACCCTGTGTATACACCACAGTGTGGTTAACTCATAGACCCTGTGTATACACCACAGTGTGATTAACTCATAGACCCTGTGTATACACCACAGTGTGATTAACTCATAGACCCTGTGTATACACCACAGTGTGATTAACTCATACACCCTGTGTATACACCACAGTGTGGTTAACTCATAGACTCTGTGTATACACCACGGTGTGATTAACTCATACACTCTGTGTATACACCATAGTGTGATTAACTCATAGACCCTGTGTATACACCACAGTGTGGTTAACTCATAGACCCTGTATATACACCACCGTGTGATTAACTCATAGACCCTGTGTATACACCACAGTGTGATTAACAGACCCTGTGTATACACCACAGTGTGGTTAACTCATAGACCCTGTATATACACCACAGTGTGATTAACAGACCCTGTGTATACACCACAGTGTGATTAACTCATACACCCTGTGTATACACCACAGTGTGATTAACTCATAGACCCTGTGTATACACCACAGTGTGATTAACTCATACACCCTGTGTATACACCACAGTGTGATTAACTCATAGACCCTGTGTATACACCACAGTGTGATTAACTCATACACCCTGTGTATACACCACAGTGTGATTAACTCATAGACCCTGTGTATACACCACAGTGTGATTAACTCATACACCCTGTGTATACACCACAGTGTGATTAACTCATACACCCTGTGTATACACCACAGTGTGATTAACTCATACACCCTGTGTATACACCACAGTGTGAGCCACTCACTCATGTTGTCCTCCTCTTGTCGCTGCTGCTCGTGCGACCTCGCGTGCCAGAAGGCGGGGGGGGCTCCCCTCGCGGGCAACAGGGCGAGAGCGCGATCTGTGGGGGGCATGCCGGAGGGAAAGGGAGAGGAGAGAGGGGGTAGAGGAGAGAGAGAGAGGGGGTAGAGAGAGGGGGTAGAGAAAGGGGGGAGAGAGAGAGAGGGGGTAGAGAAAGGGGGTAGAGAGGGGGGGGGGGTAGAGAGAGGGGGGGTAGAGAGAGAGGGGGGAGAGAGGGGGTAGAGAAAGGAGGTAGAGAGAGAGGAGGGAGAGAGGGGGGAGTGAGGGGGGAGAGAGAGGGGGGAGAGAGAGGGGGTAAAGAGAGGGGGTAGAGAGAGAGGGGGGAGAGAGAGGGGGTAGAGAAAGGGGGGGGGTGTAAAGAGAGGGGATAGAGAGAGAGAGGGGTAGAGAGAGGGGGTAGAGAGAGGGGGTAGAGAGAGAGGGGGGAGAGAGGGGGTAGAGAGAGGGGGGGGGGTGTATAGAGAGGGGGTAGAGAGAGGGGGTAGAGAGAGAGGGGGTAGAGAGGGGGGGTGTAGAGAGAGGGGGTAGAGAGAGAGAGGGGGTAGAGAGAGGGGGTAGAGAGAGGGGGGTGTGGAGAGAGGGGGTAGAGAGAGGGGGGTGTAGAGAGAGGGGGTAGAGAGAGAGGGGGGAGAGAGAGGGGGGAGAGAGAGCGGGGAAAGAGAGGGGGGGTGTAGAGATAGGGGGGGTGTAGAGAGAGGGTGTAGAGAGAGGGGGGGGTGTAGAGAGAGGGGGTAGAGAGAGAGGGGGAGAGAGAGCGGGGAAAGAGAGGGGGGGTGTAGAGATAGGGGGGGTGTAGAGAGAGGGGGTAGAGAGAGAGGGGGGAGAGAGAGGGTGTAGAGAGATGGGGTAGAGAGAGGCGGAAGGGGTAAGAAGGTGGAGAGCAGAGCGTGAAATATTTCATTTAAACAGGGGGGGGGTGGGCATATAAAGCATTGAAAAAACACACGAAAAAAACTAAATGATGAACGAAGCAAAGTGCCGGCTACACCGAGCATCTTCTTGTTTCTTCCGATGGTAAAAGAGAGAGAGAGGTAGGAGGCGGTGGAGGAGAGTGGAGGGGCTCAATGATCGAACCAAGTTCTCAAGCGGAGCGAGTTTAATGGTCTCGGCCAATGCGCCGATGAAATCGCGCGCGCGTGCGCGCACACACGCACACACGAATAGCCATAATCTATTTATATATATGTTCTCAGTGTGGTTAAATTCTTCCCTTAAATGAATAATGCGCTGTCTTCCAGCCCCGAGAATTAAAAATATTAACGTGTTGCCCACAAGGCAAACGGACATGTTATGTTCATTGTTCGTTTACGCGTTTGCCAACGAGAGCCACACTGAGTCGTCCGGATGGAACACGGCCACTAGAAGGGATCTCAGAAGTAGTTTTGCACGATCCTCTTCCGTGGGCAATTTCCGAGCACAGGGTCGATGCATCGCTAACGACGGGAGTTCCACCAGTGTCCCTCTCTCGCGGGACGTGTCGCTGATTGCGCAATCGGTATAAGCTGGATTAGAGTGGGGGGGGGGGGGCAGAGGTGGGAGGGAGGGAGGGGCAGTGGGTGTCGAACCGGTGCACTCGAGCTGCGCAAACAGCGCTGTCTGTTCGCCGCGTGTCTATTTATAATCCTCGTCTCCTTATTCGAGTCGGAAATGAACTGAAGGGATCCGTAAATTATAATGAAAGCCATTAATAACCATAGGCGAGATTGTGCGACGCGCAAGACACTAATGCGCACAGTGCCTATGCGCTCACGCACACGCTCACAAACGCAACGATATTTAGCACTTCATGTAATCACGAATTATGCGCTAAGACATTAGAGCTTGGAGTTTAGACACCCAATCTCCGTGTATCCGGTCCCCATGTCTCCATCCCCGTGTCTCAAGTCCCCGTGTCTCCAACACTCGTGTCTCCACTCCCCGTGTCTCCCTCCTCGTGTCGCCCTCCCCGTGCCTCCCTACCCATATGCCCCTGTCACCCGTGTCTCCCTCCCCGTGTCTCCCTCTCCGCGTCTCCAGTCCCCGTGTCTCCCTCCTCGTGTCTCCCTCCCCGTGTCTCCCTACCCATGCCCCTGTCACACGTGTCTCCCTCCCCGTGTCTCTTTCCCCGTGTCTCCCTCTCCGCGTCTCCAGTCCCCGTGTCCCCATCACCCGATTCTCCACCGCTAATAAGGCCACTTATCTCCTGCTCCTGTGTCACGAACCGCCACCGCCGCCTACCCCTCCCGCGTCTCAAATCCCCCGCGCCCCCACGCCTGTACGCATGGAGCGCACCCCCATAGATAGTCTCATCAAGGGAAGGAAAATGTCAAAAGACCCTTCATTTACCAAAAATTAACCCAACCCCCCTACCGCCGGCGTGCGCTTACACAGCCCACGCGCATTCAATGCAATGCGCTTCCAGTTTTCAAAACAAGAGTGGTAAAAAAAAAACACAGCAGTCAGCTTAACATGTGATTCAAATTAACATGTCATTAACATATCAACGCCTTGACATTTCGCATAAAGGACATCCCGGGCTGTAGAAAATGTCACAATGTAATCAAACGAAGCACAAACATTTACGATGGAAATTTCAAATAAAGAGGGTCCGGGGGTAATTGGTGGAAAGTGGGGGGGGGGGGGGGGTGTGGCGTGAAATGAATGCTTCCCGGAACCGTCCTGCACGCTCCGCTATAAACAGAGCGAATGACAGGACTGCGATCTCACTCGGCCCGTGTTTAATCGTCCCGGTAGCACGGGGTCGCGTCGCCATGCGAGACGTTAGCGAGCACCTATCTCATGTCCGGAACACGGCGCGCGTTACAATGGGCAACGGGTGCTCATTCACGGATGCGTCCATTTAGCTACCTGACGGAGGCCAAGAACGACTGATGTTAGCCGTGGCCCCGGATTCAAACTCGGTTCGCTTCCGGTTTGTAACAGAGTGCGCTAACCGAAACTTCGCCACCGCTCTTGCACGCAGCTTTAATGCACACAAAGAGAAAGGTTCCCGTATGACACTTCGCATGCTTTCGCCGACCAATATTATCCATAGCAATTGGAGTTTTGGGTTAGATCGCGTAAATAGAACTGGAGCGTAAAAACCCACACCGTTTACAATTCGAGTAGTTTCGGGTTTAAGGACAAATTAACAAAAAACAAAACCTCGCATGGACAATGGTTCTCCCTCCTGTAGCAGTGCCCCTACGCGTGTCCGTCTCGCGCTGATGCTAATTTAACAAAGCACCGAATCGATCCGGGTCGCAATAAACCCGCGGAGCGTGCGTGCGATGGTAACTGGTAAGTGCGTGCGGGCGCAGGACTGCACACGTGAGTTAGTTTTACGGGGGGCCCCGCGTTTAACGTGTCAAGGATGAGCTACAGGTGCATAATTACTTTACAGGTGTGTTTAATTAACTATCGACCAGGTGGCCTCAAGATGCGCGGTCTGACCGGTAATTGGGGAGCGCGGTTTTGTTTAATTGGGGCTCCGAGCGCTCGGCTCGCGTGGTGCTTATCTAATCACATCTCCCATATTATATAAAGTAGGTACCACTGAGGTGAAATCAAACGGGCAGGGATGTGGAAATTCCCCTTCCATCCCTCCCCAACTGGTTGTTTGCCACCGGCAGTAGTGAGCACCACCCGACGCTCGTGCGAGACGAGATAAAGCGACTTGCTTCGCGCCCGCGATGAACATTTTGAATGCAGGCGAGCGGTCGCCCCTGCTTCCATGCTGGACCCAACGTCGAGAACTCCGGTTCTGCAGCAGCCCCTGCTGCCGTCGCCTGCTATTCAACTCCAGGCTTACGACCAAGGCGGACTTTCATTCATTCCCCCCCCCCCCCCTACGTGAATCGCATCAGGCACTCATTTAATCATTTAAGGCCGAGTCGATCTCGCTTCGACGTCCACGACCGGATCAGATATTCGTCACCGACGTTGGCCGTGAGCAAGACTCCGAACTCGGATCGCCGGCGTTTTCGTAGCGCATGGCGCTAATCACTGCCCACGACACAACAACAACAACAACCGCCGTTCGCCACTTGCGCCAGACTGGGTGCGCCTTAAGGTTGCTACACTGTCGCTCCCCACCTTGTGGCCACGTGACTTGTCAAGTTGCCGCTACATACATGTAAAAACAAAGATTGCTCGTACAGCCTTAAACAAACTGTTGGGGCAAGTGCTGCTAGCGAGCACCTACGAAGGCTGATACGGCACACGAGGGAGTGGGTGGCCGGGACACGAGGGGGTGGGTGGCCAGCACCACGCCCGGCCGCCTTTGTCTCTCCAGTGGCGATATTTACACACGACACCAGGTACTCGTTTAAAGCTGAGTCGACCTAGGGGAGGCCCAGGACCGGTTAAGATCGTGAACAGGAGTCCGAACTCGAGTCGCCGGGGTTCGTAGCGCACCGCGATAACCGCTACACTACCGCTCCCCACCTTGAGGACACGCGAACTGTTTAATTGTCACTGCATTCATACAGACGCACGAACCCTCCTCTGTCGGCGACCAGCCGGGCACCGTGAACATTTCACACCGCAATTGCCGCTTGGCCTCCAGGCTCCCCGGGTCGTAGAGTGGCGGCGCCCGAGAGCGTTTATGTTCGCAAATTAAAAGGGAAAATATGACTCGCGTATCACGACAACGTAATTCTAATGATTGCACGAGCCAAATATTTGTTATTTTGTTGTTACTTTCTTTGAACCTATCTACGTGACTTAACCGAAAGACCCAAGAATATGAATTCCTGCAAGTCACGAAAGCTTCAAGTCAAGATTTGCACGCGCCAAATATTTTAAATGCCCTTTTTAATAAGAGTGAGCAATGGGGTTTGGTGCGTATCTCCGTTTGGCGATGCCGATTCAGTGGTGACAATTCCACATTGCCATGGAGGGGCTAGGTGGGTGCGTATGCACGCATAGATCTTGTGCGTGCGTGTGTTTAAGCGGCCGAGGGTGCGGCACTTGGAAAACTGCGCTACGAACCCCAGCAACCTAAGTTCGATTCTTAGCCACATAAGCATCAGCGGTACCTATGAAGGCCGGCACAGCACA